TAAAAACTCAAATTGCTTTTTAATCAGTAAGGATGTAGTTATCGTCGCATGTACGGAATTTGAAAAATTTTTATTTTAAAGATTCTTTTAGCCAGGTTAAAACAAAAAAATAAAGGTGAGAATAGTGAGAAAATTTTCAATTAGTCGCCATTTTTTTTTAAATTAAAATTTTCAAAATTCCGTACGTGTGACGATAACTACGTCCTTACTGATTAAAAAGCAATTTGGGTTTTTATTTTCAGATGATCCGTTTTTGAGTTATCGAACCGACCATAGAGGGGAAAATTTTTTCTAGTGCTCTACGAGATTGTTAATAACTTTGTAATAATTAAATATTTTTTAATAAAAATTTAGGGTAATAATCTTTAATGCACCCTTAATAAAATAAAAAAATCCGATCCCCAAATTCCTTTATTTTCCCTGTCAAAAAAATTCTCGAAAATCACCTTTTTTTTTCGATCGTCACAGTGGTGTTCCCCCTTAATCAACAACTATGACATAAACAACAACTATACAAATATTCAATTTTTAATATTAGAGTTTTAAAAATTTATTATAGGCTGTTAAGTTTTGTTCAAAGATTTGATAAGATTGGTGAATCGATTTTTACAAAAACTCATTCAAATATGGGTAGAAAGTAACATTACCCTATGACTGAATAAGTTACACATTTTAAATATTAATCTTATAAATTTATAAATAAATTCATATATATCGAGATAAGGAGAGCTTAATATCAGAAAATGAAACAAGAATTACGAATTTAAATAATAACCAACATTAATTTTTTCACAATTAATAGCTTTAATGTAAAATATTAAAAAATTTTGATTATCTTAAAACGATAGTTTTTTAAGAATTTGATTTTTACAAATGTTAAGATTTGTTTAATCTTACAATGAATCAATATCTCGAAATTTTCTCTTGGATTATATTAAACTAAAATTTATTGATTAGATAAAATTGAAAAAAAAATTCAAAGTTAGACTTCTAAAACATGCTGATTTTTAAATGTAAAAGTATTTATAGATCTAATTACCTAAAGGAAGCTCTACATCTTGAAGACCCTCGCTGATAACAAAATTGCTGACACATTCAGCGAGATATTCAAATAATGGCATACCCGAGCCGGTTCTAAGATGGGCATCAATATGATATTTTTTTACGTCTTCCCTTACAACCACACCATTCACCAACTCCAGCAGGAGAACGCGAAAATTTGTTCCTCCCAAATCGAGAGCCAAGAATAATCCTTCCTCTGCAAAGATTAATCAATTACTTGCAGATCAATGAAACCCAGTGAAATAATTAAATAAATAAATGAACAATATTTACTTGGTAAATTTTAAAAGCATACCTGTTCCATCAGGCAATTCAGGTATATAAGTATTTTCCATTTGCAGAGAAGAGGGTTGTTGGTGGATCCCTTTATTCATTTCGGACCGGAAAACATCTTGGATTTTTCTGGCTGTCGCCGCAGAAAGTCGCATCTGCGCCAATAAATTTTCAATCTAAAAAAAATATATAATTGAATTAAAAAAATGTATATTTTATTTTTTACGTAAATAATAATTATAAAACATAATAATTAATTTCCCGGAAACTCACATAGTGTATTGAGTGATCTGATATACTTATGTACACTACTAGAAGTACGACTGCGTTCTTTTCTATTTACATTGCCACGGTCATTTAATTGGATTTTAATACTCATGTATGTTTTGAACTTACAGAAATTCCAAGAATAATTAATTTAATTATTTGATTTACTTTATAAATAATATATTGAAAAATTACACATAAATTATTCATTTTTTTTTTAATCATGCTGTCTACTATAAATAATTATTAATTACATTCTTATGGCATATTATCAGTAAAATTATACTTGTAAAAGTACTTATAATTTTTTCTCTTGATTTATCATCACACGATATAATTATTCATTAAAAACTCGTTATTCTTTAAATGATTATTGGAAAATATATCTCAATTTCTTAAAATCTATATTTTAATTATTTATTATCACATTACTATTTTTATCCTATTACAATTATTGTGAAATCAATGTGTTATTTGAATTTCATGATTGATTATGTGAACAAATATTTCATTTGACTTTTTTTCAACCAAACAAAAATTTTTAATATTTTATAGAATGAAGAAATTAATTTATTTATTTAGACTATTTAATCTAATGATTTTTTATATAAATAATTTTCAAATTTTTTGATCAAACTGATTTCTAATCTTGTCATTTTTCAATAAACTTCGGGTGTAATGCTTACTCTAAGAATATGTTTGAAATACTCGAAAAATATTTTTTAAAATCATAAATAGACACTCATAAGTCAATTTTACTATAACGAGACTGTAATTGAGCAATATACGTCAATGTCAATAAAGATATTAAATTGAAAATATTAAGCGATCTTCAGATCGAGAAAATTCTTAATTAAACCGTCTAAATGAGTACATATATACATTTATATCTATCTATATCTTTATAATATAAATAATAAATGTGTAAAACAACATAAACACTACACGTTATTCTTAGAATGTGATTTATTGGTGAAATTACGTCATACAATTCAAAGCAATTAGATGTACGTTTATATTGTTAGTATTATTTAATTTTTGTAACGTTTCTGGGTTTAAACCGCATTAAATCAGAAAAAAAAAACTACTCAAGTAATTCCTCCGTACTCTAAAACTATAAAAATCATGTAATTACGTCGCATTGATAAATTTTAAGATGATTGCTGTGTTAGTGAGAAAAAGTTGTAAATTACGAAAAAACATCAATAATTTTACTCATCTTTAAAAATAAAAATGAGCAGTTTATAAAAAAAAAAAAAAATTTAAGTAAGAATGTAATCAGACATAGGAAAGAATCTTCAAATACAGAGAGGCTCACCCTGCACGGATTTTCTTATTGGTCAATAATTTAATCAATTCAAGATATGTACAAATAGTTAAATAGTCAAGATACTCAAATGAATAATCTATTTTCTCAAGCAATATACGATGATTGATTATCTCATGAATAATAATCTGACGTTAAAGATTTTTAATCCAACTTGTTTATGAAACATAAAATACATAATTGATTAAATAATCTCTTTAGAGGTCCAATGAACTTTATATGTACCGAATGATAACCCTTAAAAATGATATTAATAATAAATTGATAACCTTCAGGTTATTAAAAATGGGTTGGATTATATGTAATTTTTCTCTGTATTGACAATTCGAAATAAAAGATACATATGATTTGTTTCTTTAATTTTAATAATTCATTTTTTTTTTATTTAGTATTTGATATATGTTCGCAAATGCCCTCGTCTGTATCATTTCAGATACTTAGTCTTAATTTACGGGGCGCCCAACCGAGCTATTATTAGTTCTTCAATATAGAGTAGGGTCCACAATAATAAATTGTGTGTTATAAAATCTATACGACAATATTAATATACAACTAACATCGAATAAAAAATTTTTAAATTATGAGAAACCACAAAAAAATATATTTTTTCTTTCATGATCTTGATATTCTCCATATAATTATATCGAATCATTAATTTCTAAACAACATTTAATTTGTATTATTACTTTTATCGTTTTTATAATTTTAATTTTTTTACTTTTCTAATTGATTGATTCGTTTCTCTAATCATTGACGTATGGCATAAAATTTTCGACGGAGTTATTACCTAATTTATTTTTATCTAAGATAAAAACGATGAGGCTTAAAAACAATTATCAATAAAATAAACTTATGTTATTTGATTCATTAATAAACATAAAAATGAAAATATCTTAAACATTAACATGATAACTCTGATAATTTTTTTTTCAAGGTCCAGTTTATTAAAAAATGATGAATAAATATTTCTTCTCAATAGCGTACTTTTACAGAGTTTTGGTTTTTGTTCCACTACAATAAAAATGAACAATCAAGAGAATTATTTTGTAAAAACTAATCAATATTTTAAAGTTTAAAAAAATAATAATATTTTCAGCATTTGGTAAATCTAACAAGCTGAATATTATTAATTATCATTGTTATATACCTTTTGTCTCTTGACATCGTCCGGAAGATCCAAAGGGCTAACCTGGATAGCTTCATGGAGAGCTCTTTCGGAGGGTACCATCATTTTCTTTAAATATTTTCTGCTAATAAACCCTAAAAAAATAAAAAACATAAATAATAATAAAAATTATTTAATAAATATCATATAGTATATCTTGACGGAGATAAGTTGCTAAAACGTATGATGTTTTATTATCGAAAAAAGTATCAAATATTAAATTTTATCTCATCCTTGAAAAAATAAAATTTCGGAACTATTATTTATCAATGCTACCAATGATCAGACGGGTACCCACAGGCAATTTAAAATCATCACAGCTACTTAATCGAACCCGCAGATTACTTTCTCACTTGTTATCGATCCTATGCTATATAACGCTATAACATGATCATACACGAGCATCAAATCAGAACTACTTGATATTTCAAGTGGTTGTATTTCATTTACAATAAAAAAAAATAAAAATAAAAAAAAAAAACATGAAATTAATATCCCGCAGAAACATATTTCATCACCTATTCTAAAAATAAACTGAACAGTGATAAAAAAAACAATAAAAAACGATTAATTTTAGTAATAAAAATTAAATTTTGATGACAATTGTTACGAAAAAAAATAAAACAATTGGAACATATAAATGATCATTACTTTTTTTCATTTTGTAAAATGTTATTTTTAATTGTAAAAAATACATTTTTTTTCTACACATTTAACGTTTGTTAAATGAAAATAACTACATTTTATCGATAAACTTACTATTCACTTTTAACGTCTTCATAATATTTATATGGTTGAGATGAAATATAAATTTTAGAAATTTCACAGTAATTTTCTGTAGTCTAAAGTTGTATCTTATTTTAAGTTTGTTCATGTACCACCAGATTCACTGATTCATTACACACGTGGATAAAAGTTTACGATATATTGCGTCACATTATTTTTATTTGATTTAATCTTTTCGTAGTCTTAGTAGTCTAGTCGTGATATTACTAAACAATCACAAATTATGATTAAACATGATAACATGTTAATATTTGCAGTAAATAATGAAAAATTCTATTAAATTAATAACTTTTGCTTTAAAAATTCGTAAATTTTCACGGTAAACACAACAGTAAAAGTTTTTAAGTTTTAAAAAATGATTGTTGACTGAAAATAAAACAAACGGTTCGTAAAGGACATATTAAATTGGAATCTTGAGAATTTTCTTAATAGCTATGTTCTATTTAATAAACAATCATTCTTTCTACTAGTGTAATTACTCCTAACTTCTCGGATACTAGCCAATTTAAATTATTTAATTAAACTGGTCTGTTTGCTGGGCTTGAATTATTGCAAGTGAATGACTGCATTTTTTAGACGTTTGTTTAACATATGCATTGATATTTAAATTTTCAAGTAAAAAAAAAATTTTAATATTTTTCAACTTAATATTTTAAAGAAGTGGTAATTTATATTGAATTAAATAATTGAATAAATTTATATTAAACGAGATCAGTTGAAGTATAAATAAATCATACCAATAAAAATTTAAGCTTCCAAAAATATTAATTTCCTACAAATGCACAGAGATACACTCTATACTTCATGGCTAAAGTGTTTTATGTACAGAATTAAAAACTCTTTATTTATAATGTAATAATAATACTTATCATATTATATAAATAATTTTTATTAACTTTTGTGTATAAATACTTTGCATATAGCTATTTACAGTCAGATTTATCATTCAAATGGAGATATATTTTTAAACTGGATTCTAAAAATAATCAGACTTTACGAATTTCATTTGCTTCAATAATTGTGACAGTGTATTAGTAAATATGTTAAATAGCTTAATAACTTTGATTTCCATTAAACTAAATTATGAATAATTAAAAGTGTAATCAACGGACATGATAAAAAAGTACAAGAGACATTATATGACTTTTTTTTTTATAATAACTATAAGAGCAAATAAACCTTGATTAAAATCAATTGAAAGGTGTAAACGTCAGATACAATAATTTAACCAGTTGACCTGACCAAGCTATATTCTAATTTCGGATACATATACATCGTGTTAACTTAGTAACTGTAATTTAACAATTTAATGTGGTACTTGAAAAAGAAAAAATAAAGAAATTTGTTTTCATTTCTGTTTTTAATTTAATTTAAAAAGTGATCTTGTCAGCAGAAAAATAGTATCAATTAAGTATGAGCGTAATACTTTCGTAAGTCCATAAAATTATGAATATAATAATACGGTTACGTGACATATACATCCGCATGTTTGAAAAAGAAAAATAAATGATAAATTACAAGATCAATGATGGATTAATACACTAGTTTAAAATAATTATCATTTAAAATAATAAATCAGGAGAGAAAATAAATTTAAATATTATCAGTAATTGCAAATTATCAGAAACTTCCAAACCTCTGTTATCTGATAAAAGTAAAAACGTAACTACGGTATACTTTTTATTCCAAATTACGTAAACGATAGTACATTGGGATAAGTTACTAATTTAAATAATATATTCTGTAAAAAAAGCACAAAATTAATATTTAAATCAGTGGCATTTTTTAATTCATTATCAGACATAAGTATTGTATTTTAACGAAAAAAAAAACTAACTTTAAAATGTAATTTTTTATAAAATTAAAATTATCTTTACAGACAGATTTATCAGTAAAGTATATGACCACCTGTTGCGTTTACTTCTTACAGAAAATTTTTAAAAAATAATTTTTTTTTTGTATTAAATATATAACATTTTTATAATTATTGATAATAAAATAAAAAAAGGACTTACTTTAAAGATTTAGCCTCACTGACAGCTGGTTCAGTATCCAAAAGACACTGAACTACACGTTCCAAGTCGTTTGAGAGCTTGGATTAAAAAAATATGTTCTTCTTATAATCTTGATGATTTAACCGAAAATGAAAAAAAATAAATAAATAAATTAGTACATTGATGAAAGAGTTAAAATAAAGTCTTAAGTATATTAATAAATTACTTGAATATCCTTGTGTGTATGTCATCCAGAAGAGAACAAAATCACGGAATGTGACTAAAACTGAATGGAACGACGCCGACAGAGTATTGCATTAACTCCGAGCCTCCAAGAGCGGTCGAGCCTCCACATATTTCCCCACTACATAACACTATATTTTATGTTATATTACAGCAACTCCAACATATCATCTACAAACTAAAAGTTAACGTAGCTTACGCTTGTAACGTATAAGTGTATGGAGATTATTTACATACACTCTCACAATTTTGATTACGTTACGTGACATTTACACGATGCTGTGTATTAGTTCATTCACCATCAAACACCAACTTAAATCTTGATATGACGTTTAAACTCGCTTACATTACATGTAAAATATATATTGAGATTAATTATATTATTTAATAATAATAAGGACAGATATATCTTTTATAATTTAAATTTCTATTGATTGTTAATTTTTTAAAATGCTTATCTTTATTATTCAAGTTAAGTAATACGCTGAGTTTAAAAAAAGTAGATAAAATTATAATGTACATGTATTTCGTGTTATTAAGAAAAAAATCAAGTTTTGGACAGATTAGATTTCAGGCGTAAGTGTAGTTGTATTAATTCACTGATACTACGTGACACTGATGAAAATATCAAACATCTGATGATTAGTTTTTATTTTAAATAATGTTAAAAACAATTTTTTCACTATTTTCGTAATAAATTTTTCTAAATTTGTAAGTGCTTTTTTTTTAAGTTTTATTATATGTAATTTCTTCGAAGATTTTATAATTATTTTTATTTTGAATATCGTAATACTATATATCAATTTTATTGTAGCACGATAATCAAGTTTTATGTATTGACTTTTTTTTACTTTTCGACAGTGATAATTATTTCTAAATTTTTATAGTTTATTTCGCCAATTTTTTTGGATGATGAGTTCATCGCACAAATATTTATCACTAAATTGTAAAATTTCCCCATCAAAACAAATTATCTCGTTAAAAATTTATTTATGAACATTCATATTGATTAAAACATGTTTACGTAATTATAAATTCGTTCAAGATGAATGAGATTTTAAAAAATTTTACCATATTTTAAATGACAACAAGAATTTTCTGTTTCGAGGAGAATGTAAATAGATTTTTGTTCAGGGCTTTTTTTTTAACCATTATAAAGTGACATTAAACAGCAAATATTTATCTTGAGATGGTTTTCGATAACGAGAACATATTAATATGTAGTTATTTTTATACATAAAAGAAAACTTTTCCCAATGTTAATGAAAAAAAAAAATTTCATTTTTTTTAGATATTTATTATACAATTGAAAATTACTCAATAATTTTTTTGTTTTTGCTTGTCGACAAGAATCACTTTGAAATATTAGAAAGAAATTTATAAATAGATATTTCTTTTTTATCGGAAGTAAATTCTTGTAGTGGTTCGATTTGATAATCACTGACGTTAACAAGATAATAAGTATTACATTTTTTTTTTATTGCAACAGTTTCTCAAAATATTTTTTTTTTTTTATATATGAATTAGAATTTTGGCCTATTTTCGGACGAAGACTAGTGTTTTTCTAATTTAAGTCTAAAGATGGATCTTTCATCTTCCCTTTTGATCGAGAGCTATATTCTCTCTTCACAGTAGTTCGATAGGTATCCATCAAACTTAAATACTAGTAAAGCTGGAAGCTTGTAGTATCTGTTCGAGTTATGAGGATGTTAATTAAGTGAAAGATAGTGAAAGAAATTTGAATGAGAGCAAAGATGAACTTTGAAAAAATAAATGGGGTTGGTTGCCAAGCCAGGAATCGAACCTGGATCTCCCTGATAACTTAAATACTAGTAAAGCTGGAAGCTTGTAGTATCTGTTCGAGTTATGAGGATGTTAATTAAGTGAAAGATAGTGAAAGAAAATTGACATGTTATCAGGGAGATCCAGGTTCGATTCCTGGCTTGGTAACCAACCCCATTTATTTTTTTCAAAGTCTGTCTTTGCTCTATGTCAATTTTCTTTCACTATCTTTCACTTAATTAACATCCTCATAACTCGAACAGATACTACAAGCTTCCAGCTTTACTAGTATTTAAGTTTGATGAATACCCATCGAACTACTGTGAAGAGAGAATATAGCTCTCGATCAAAAGGGAAGATAAAAGATCTATCTTTAGACTTAAATTAGAAAAACACTAGTCTTCGTCCGAAAATAGGCCAAAATTCTAATTCATATATACTATCATGTCGGTCCAAAAATATATCATTAATTTTTTTTTATATGTATTTTTCTCATAGCAAAAAATTTAAAGTCTGTCATCTGTCAAATAAATGTTGATGATTCACATAATAAATTATATGAAACTAGTGAATAAAACACAAATATTCTATAAACTTTTTGATAATATTAATCAAAGCGTTTAATTTCATTTCACATAAATTGACAAAAGATATTGAGAGTCGAAAATATTCGACCCTTTTTTCTCTATCTTCGACTATCAATTTATCCTTTTTGTTAATTATGCAGCAGTGAACCTCCTTAATTTACAACTATCAATTGAACATAACTTTTTTATTAATAAATGACATTCTCTAAAATGAATATTATAGTCACTATACAAAGTCTAGACATATTCAAATGATAAACTTTGAAATCGACCTAAAAAGATATGTAAAAAATATATTATTTGTTAATAATATTTCATTTTTCTTGGTGAACTTTGCTCGCAAATAGGGAAAGCATCTTGCAGACAATTACCACGATAAAAATGATGGACATTAAAGAAAATAAGGCTATCTATTTTCCGTGTCGATGAATCTCAAATAAATAATTGAAAAAATATTGGATTAGATTAATAATTGAATAAAGTTATTTATTTACAAACAATAACTATCAATTAGACACAATTGATAAACTTACATCACGTTAATAATTTAAGTTCAATAGAAGAAATTACTTAAAATTAAACAGGCAATAAATCGTCACCTAGTTCTTCATCACCAAAATCTTCATCTCTTTTTCCAGCGGCAGTCATAGGTCGTGTTGGTAATGGTCCCACAGGATCTGAATAAATCACGTCTGTAATAAAAGAAAAGGCAATTATCAATAATGCTTTTATTAGCAAGTATGTAATAAAGGGCTGTAAATAGAATGATGTATAGAGGCTACAAATAGACGGTGTAAATCCGTTGAGCGCATCCATCATCCATTCAATCCATTAAAGTAATATATTATGTGCAATACAAGTATCCTCTTTCTCATTATATTTCATTCAGCTAATTTTTAACTACGCATAAGATAAACACTTTAATATACACACAAGCTTTTCACTACCAACAGTACAAACAACTCAATTTTATTCATAATGATGATTAATTGTTAATTATTTTTAATGAAATTAATTTTATGAATATTAATTATTAATTTATTTCTTATTAATAATTATTACGACAACATTATTTTATTTTATAATTTAAATTGAATTCAAAGAATCAAATTTAAAGATAAAATATTGATAAAAATTTTTTTACAATCAATTAGATAAATATAAGCTCGATAGATTGACAACGTTATTTATGATTGCGAAAAAATATAACTAAACACCTTGAACTTGTGATTATAAAACAATAAATCATTGTTTTAATGTTGATCAAAGTAATCACACCGTATAAATTTTAAATAAAGATCATTATTAAGTTCACAGCTAACAATACTGATAAAATGAATTGGTGTCATATTACACATAGTTTCAAGGATAAAAATTTATGTGAAAAAAAGTTTTGTATATTAATAAAAAATAATTGATGCAATTTACCATTTGGTGACTCAGGTAAAATATTATCAAAATTATCTAGAGTATTAACTCGACTTAAACGAGAATTTCCGTTACTAAAAGACGAGCGTGGCTCTTTACGACTTGCGATTGGACTCGATTTATAATCAGATTGCATGCTAATTCCAGAGCCTCCTCGCGAAGAGTTGCCACTATTACTTCTTCTTGAACCTGATGAATATATTATTTTATGTTAAAAATAAAAAACTTAGTACTATTTATTATTGTTGTGCTCATAAATAATAAACGAAACCTGGTCTAGCAGAACCTTGACGTTCTTTAAGTTCCTTAGCTTTTTCAACTTTCTTCAGCTCTGAAGCGTACAGTTGAGCTTCTTTCAAGCCCAAATCACTGCATAGTCTAATCAAAAACTTAAGACACTCGATATTTTCAGGAAACTTTTCATGTATGTCCTGATATTCCTCCAATGCTTTGTGAAACTGGCCAGTTCGTCTCAAACAAGCCGCTACTAATAATCGCCAACGTGGTTGATCCGGAGCTAACTCCACTCCTCTCTTGAAGTACGGTAAAGCTTTTTCGGCGACCTTTAATTGTTAATCATTAATTGGTTTAATTTTTACATAATTAATTAAATCAAGTACCTGCATCGAAATAAAGTAAGACCCAAGCCAATCGATAACTTCAAAATTACCTGGGAAGTATCTGTAAGACTATAATTGACAAAAAAAATTAGTTTCATAATAATGCTATCAAATAAATTAAATGTACGTACGTCACTGTAATACTGATATGCTTGTTGTTTATCTCCTAAACTATCGTACAATTCTCCTAATTTTTGTAGCACTCCAGGATCAGATGGTATAATACCCAGCAGCTGATTATACCTAGTTTGAAAAATCAAATATTTTTTTTTAATTATAAAGTAATTCACATCACCAAGTGAATCGTTTATTTGAGAAACCCCATAAGTCAAAAATACTAAATTTTTCAGAAGCAAAAAACATTTTTCTCGGTTAAGTTTGCATTAACATCATCAACCAATGATGAATAATAATAATGTTAGTATCCCTAAAAAATATTCGAGCATGAAAAAATTTAATTGTTAATTACTACTATTCGTAATAATGATTTGAAGTTGATTAACTTATAGTTGATAGGGTTTCTCACCAAAACGAACAAAGTAGTAATAAAATCATTAATTTATCAATTTTTCTCCGTCAATTATTTATTATATTTATAAAATAAAGTACAAAATATGTACTTAATTGTATTAGAACTACAATCAACGAAAATTATAATAAATCATCTATTTTTAAATTCAAAAATTATTTAAATCAAAGTATTTAACAGTAAATATAATATATTTTTATTTTAAATCAGTTAAATCCGAGTCAAAAATAAAACAACATATTTTTAATTTTAATCCATCAAGCGAATATTATAAAACTTACTAAAATTCAAGTATTAAACTATAAATTTAGTTTCTAATTATCTAATAATCAATCATTTTAAAATTAAAGTTAGTGAAATCACATCAAACAATAAAACAATAATTTAATTTAATTTTTTTAAACCCATACTGCGAAAATTATGAAAATTTTAGCATTTTGCATTGAACTGAATTTCAGTTAAATCCGAGTCAAAAATAAAACAACATATTTTTAATTTTAATCCATCAAGCGAATATTATAAAACTTACTAAAATTCAAGTATTAAACTATAAATTTAGTTTCTAATTATCTAATAATTAATCATTTTAAAATTAAAGTTAGTGAAATCACATCAAACAATAAAACAATAATTTAATTTAATTTTTTTAAACCCATACTGCGAAAATTATGAAAATTTTAGCATTTTGCATTGAACTGAATTTTTTATACTCAGAAGTTTTTTTGAAAAAAAAAAAAAAAAAAAAAATTGTTTTTGGAATTTTGAAATTGAATGTTTATTCGAAAAACCCCATAAGTTACTGACTTATGGGGTTTCTCAAATAAACGATTCAAGTGAATTATAACAATTAATAATAAATATTGAATACCATTCCAAAGATTGATCAACGTCTTTAGTTAGCTGATACAAATGACTGATCTGGTATAGTGTCAGAGGATCATATCTCACGATGTTTCGTAATTTCCAGAAACATTCAAGTGCATCTTCGTGCCATTCTTGTTTTTTATAGACCAATCCTATAATAATAATAATAATAATAATAATAATGAAATTCAATTATTCGATAAACTATAATTTGTAGTTTATAGAAGTAAAAATAATAAAAAACAAATTTTCAAATAAAAAAAAATTTTTATGATGTTATTTACATTTAGTTATTTTAAAGTGATACATGAATTACTGGATCATCAATCATTTATTATATAATGGATTGAAAAAAACAACAAATAATGTTTATCCTAAAAAATATTTACCTAAATTATATAAAGCTTGTACATGACTAGCATCACTGTCAAGTGCACATAACAATAATTCTCTAGCTCTTTCCAATTCGCCTTTTTTTATCGCACATGCTGAAAGATTTACGTAAGCCGCAGCATTATAACTATCTGCGTTACGAGCAGCTTCACCGCAACGTTCAGCCAATTCATAATTACCTTGCTGAATAATACTCATTTATTAAATTCTCATTGCCGGCTTGTTATCTGGTAAACTTTGAAACACAATAGAATAACGAAAATACTTACAAGGAAGTAGATGAATGATAGCATGGTTGATGCTGCGCTGTTTGCTTTAATGTCACGATTTTCAAACATTTTAAGTGTGTCAATTGCCAGAGAAGTTTCTCGATTATGCAGTAAAACCATAGCTTTATTTATTTCTAAATCCGCTGCCAGAGAGCTGTATGATGATGATCTTATAATATCTACACACCTGAAGAAGAAATATTGATCAATCTACAATTTTAATATTTTTTCCATTTATTTTGTAAAAATAATCACCAAGAAAATCCTGCTGTTAAAGTATCCTCAATTACTGGAGCAATTAATTTAGCAGCGCTTAAAATTGATTTTTCCGCTTCTGATTTCATTTCATTTTCTAATAATGACAATTGATCTGTTTTTATTATTTCATTAAGTATATTGTTTACTGCATCATCCTAAAATATATTTACATATGTAAATCTTTTAATAAATATTCTAATACTAAAGATTAAGTACACAAAAGTATATCATTCGAAGATTACAGTATTAATTGAATATTTTTCTTCTTGATCAGTATTAAGCTGAACTTCAAGTAGTTCTAAAAATCCTCGTTTCATTTTATCCCGATGACATAGTGCAAAGTGACATAAAATAGCATGCAACCCAGCTTTAAATTCACTTCTTTCTCGCATCACCCATTCGAAACTATTTGCTGCTTCCTCTAAGCGACCCATTTGGACAAACAGCATACCTATATTATGCATTATTTTAATCCTAGAATAAACAATGTGAGTTTATGAGCAATTGAGAAATCATCAGTAACTACTTACATGTTTCTTTAAAAAGATATAACAATAAATCGTTATTTTTATTACCTTAGATCTTTATGAGCTCCTGGTGCTTGATCCAAAGCCATTCGATACATTTTAATAGCTTGTGAAAGTTGGCCGATTTTAACATAAATATTTCCCATATTAACTTTTAGCCTTGCACTATTATTAAACATTCTATTTCGCGTTATTGCTTGATAAGTTGCTATTGCTTCCGTATACATTTCGTTATTAGTATACTGAGTTGCCAAATTAACTAAAACCTGTAAAAAAATTACTCTTAAATTTAAAATAAAAAAAATTTTTATTTTTTATAAATTAATATTTATAAAAAACTACTCACAGCAAAAGTTAAATCTAGATTATGACTATCACTTAATCCAGCTTGCTCTTGCAAACGAATTAAAACTTTTTCTCTCGAAGAAGCTTCTCTAGCCCTCTCTAGGGCAACCCGCATGTTACCCTCACTAGCAGCTTGAGCAGAACTTTCAATCAGTTCCATTATTTTTCGCTCGCCATTTTTTATTTTTCCCTCTGGGGTGTCTTCTTTTCCAGAATCCAAAGGTGGAGCAGGACCGCGAGAATTGCTTCCCATATTCAGAGGATCAAATGTCGCCTGGCGGCTACTGGTATACCCAGCACCACGTACAGCTGTCATCGGCCTAAGTCCTGTACCTGGTCGCCCCGTGATCCCAGCTCCCGTACGATGAAACTGGAGTTCAAAAATTCGATTTGATTAATCAATTAAGGGGGAACACCACTGTGACGATCGAAAAAAAGAGGTGGTTTTCGGGAATTTTTTTGACAAAAAAAATACAGGAATTTGGGGATCGGATTTTTTTTATTTTATTAAGGGTACATTAAAGATTATTACCCTAAATTTTTATTAAAAAATATTTAATTATTACAAAGTTATTAACAGTCTCGTAGAGCACTAGAAAAAATTTCCCCGTATATTAGTCGGTTCGATAACTCAAAAACGAATCATCTGAAAATAAAAATCCAAATTGCTTTTTAATCATTAAAGATGTAGTTATCGTCGGACGTACGGAATTTTGAAAATTTTGATTTTTAAGAAAATGGCGACTGATTGAAAATTTTCTCACTATTCTTTTACTGTTTTTTTTTTTGTTTTAACCCGGCTGAAAAAATTTTAAAAATAAAAATTTTTTTAATTCCGAGATGATCCTTTTTTGAGTTATCGAACTGACCATGGAGGGGGAAATTTTTTCTAGTGTTCTACGAGATTGTTGATAACTTTGTAATAATCAAATATTTTTTAATAAAAATTTAGGGTAATAATCTTTAATGTACCCTCAGGGTGGCGACTGAATACTAATTTCAAAATTCCCTGACTTTTCCCTGACCAAAAATAAAATTCCAGAACCTACAAAAAAAATAATTGTTATTCAAATATTCGTTATAATTGTAAATTATTTTAAAAATAATTTTTGTATGCTAGAATTCATATCTAATATCCAGAATTGAGTAAAAATTTGTAACTATAAATTATGTTATAATTTTTTGCAGATTTTCAACTATTCAAAAAAGATCAGTTTCTTTTGAAAATTAAATTAAATAATTAAACTTTTGAAAATACAATAATTGATATTATGACTATCATTAATCATTTAGAAGTTATACTTCTTTTTTATTATTAACTATCCATACATTTAGTTTTTTGAATATTATTGATCACAAAAAAGAAGAAATATGAATTAAGAAATTAAATAACATCAATTAATATTAAAAATTATCTGCAGTACGATTTTTAGAATGCTATAGAAATAATTTATTATTTCTACAGCATTCTAGTTTATTTTTTAAAATAAACTAGAAATTTTCCTGACCCAAGTTAAAACTCCCTGACTTTTCACTTACTATTCCAGGTTTTCCAAGTCAATCGCCACCCTGATCCTTAATAAAATAAAAAAAATCCGATCCCCAAATTCCTTTATTTTCCCTGTCAAAAAAATTCCCGAAAATCACCTCTTTTTTTCGATCGTCACAGTGGTGTTCTCCCTTAATAATAGCTTTTGAGTATTTTTAAAAATTTTATTTACCCCGGTTGACGTTCCCAAACGCATCGCAGTTCCTGGAGGCAGCCTCGGAGTTGTCTGAAAAAATAATTTTTATCAAATATTTAAATTAAATAGTAATTTTATGATAGTCATCCAGACAAAAATACTCACAATATTTCTTCTGACATTGTTCATTTCCAGAGCATCTTGAAATGCTAAATTTTGGTTAGTTCCACTGAACATCAAAGAATAATCATCATATCCTCCATAAATATCATCATCTACCAATACCTGGGTACTCATTTTTGTTAAATAATTATCAATATTTTTTAATTAAAAAATTATTTTTATTAACAAAAGAACAACACACAGTATTACATAAATAATTGATAAAAAATGAATTTGTTAATTTATGAAAATAAATAACTTTATATAATTGATCGTAAATTTATCCAATGTTTATTTTTTTATCAAGTCTTTGTTGTATATTTGGTAACCTAGTAACAGGACTGTTTGCTTCAGCCCTCTGCATGCGCACCTGTAAAATATAACAGTCATATAGTTGAATGTCAATATTTTCTGTATAAATATAAAAGGCTAAATTTTTCCATCTCACCTTTATTGTCAATATATTTTTATTTCCGATGTTTCCATGACAATTTACGAACACAACAGTGAAATTCTACCAGCGCGTAATTAAGTAAACTTGAGTGTAAGTAAAAATAAAAATAAGAAATGGAAAGTATTCGCCCGGTGACAGGTGGGCAAATGGTAGCAGAGAAATCCGCAACCCAGTGGCAAAGAGACGTAGACGTAAAAACCGATAATAATTTAGACAGACCTAAAACGAGCGTAAGTCGCCCTCAGACTCGACATGAGAGACCGATATCTCGCAGAGGTACACAAAATCAGTCTACACGTAATGGAAGCGCATTCAGAGCGGTAACTCCATCAAGAAGTGGAACTGCTGCTAGACCTCCTTCAGCATCGGCTTACTCAAATCGTGGTTCAACGGCCAATTCTCGAGTTAATAATTTAACTTCTGCTATGGGAATGAATAGACTGAACACTGGACTTCCACCGACATCTCAAATGAGTTCTGGAGTCTTTGACAGGCCGATAACTCAGCATGGAATTGCTGGAATGCGTCCGGCTACTACTAGAGGACTGCCTATGACAAGGTAATAGACAAATAAATTATTATGACATTAAAGTTAGAACTTACTAAACAATTTTTTAATTTTAGTTAACAAAAAAATTATTTTTAAAAAAATTATTTTAGGAAATTGCAATTTTCATTTTTTCAAATCTCTACATGTCAATTTTTTTTTCTAAATTTTTTTTTTTGCCATAATTTATTTGTTAAAAACTTATTAAAATTATTAAATATGCGCTAAATTAATTTACATAAATTATTATTTATTTAGTTTAAAGTTAATTTTTATTAATTTATGCTGTTAGGCGTTCAGAAAGATTGGCGGCTAAGAAAAATAATTTAAATTTTAAATTGCCTAATTATACAACAACACAATATGAAAACTCTTTTGTAATTACTGTTATATACGTTTATGGGAGGAGTTACCATCTGATATTGTTGACTCCTCAAGCTTAGATATTTTCAAAAATAAAATCTAATATGACTATTTATTTAAACTAGATATTTAATAGTTTTTTTACAAACTTTTCATGTAAACTTTTATTTAGTAAATTGGTTAAATCATGTATTATATAGTACTTGATGAATAAGTTAAATCGTGTATTATAATTCTAATATTTATATATTCTGTGTCTGATTTTTTTTTACTTAATTTGTACATTATTTTCATTATCTTTTTAGTTAATATTGTATTTTATGTATTGTTAACGTATATATGTATAAATTTGCCATTCGGCTAATTAGGCCTTGGTATAAATGAATAAATCTAAATCTAAATTTATTAATTAAATTTTTGAATTTTTAGGCAAATTCAAGATAAAAGATACTTTGAAGGACTGATACAATTGAAACTTCGAGAGCTTAATCAAGAAATAGGAGTTATTTATAGTGAAATAGAAGCTCAGAAAAAAGAACGTGTTACTTTCGCGCATTATGATAATAGAGCTAAAGAACTTGCGGCTGAATTAACTGAATTACAGGGACAATTAGCGGATTACAATATTGTTATGGATAAAGTTGCGTCGAATGTCAATAAAGACGATATGGAGGAAGATGTTAGAGAAATAAAAGCTTCGAATGAACGACTAGCCTTGGAAATAGAAAGCTTGTTTGAACAGCGAAGATTTAAGGAGCAAAAACTGCGTGATATGGAAGAAAGGATAGAGATTGAAGAAAAAAAAGCTGACAGAATGATAGAAGCTATGGATTCAAATTTACGGGAAGCATATGATAATTTGGTTGAAGAAAGAAATAAATTGCAGAGTGATATAGGAAACTTGCAAAAGGAAATGGATTTATTGATGTCAGAAAAGTATAATTTAGAAGAACAAATAGCTTTGTCGTCGATTAAACAAGAGGCTGTCAAGCTTGGGATTAACATAGCTGAGGCTGAAGAAAAGAGGGCTAAATTGTTGGATGAACAGAAAAATAAAATGTCGCCTGATGAAGAACGCGAGCATCTTTTGAATCGCGTTAAGCAGGATAATATGGATATTGTGGCGGCTGAAAGGAAAATAGCTGAAACAGAAAGTAAAATTCGTCAGGTTGAACAGGAGTTAGAGCAGTTAGAAACAGATTTAGAAGACAATCAGTCGGAAAAACAGATAAAATATAATGAATTGAGAAAACGAGAAGAAGCTATAGAACAATTTATGCCGAATTTTGAGCAAAGTAAAGAAGAAGAATTGAAAAAATTATCTGGCTTAGAAGATAAAATTGTTGAGTCTTTGAGAAAATTAGCTTACGCTACAGATCATGATATTAATCAACTTTCGCTTAATGATGAAATGGCGATTTTTAATATTCCATCGTCTGAAAATGCCAACAAGCAGGATAAAAGTTTTGAGGAACTTAGTAAAGAGCACATTAAATTAAAGCAGTCGCTTATTAAAATGGAGAGCTTTGAAAAAAAATTAAATACCGAACAAATTGAATTGACGGAAAAAATAAAACAAAAAGAAAGCGAATTAATTGTTCTAGAGGATTTGGAAGGATTAAAAGCACGTTCGGAATCAGATCACGAGGAGCTGATAGCACAAAGACAGCAGTTAAAGATTCAACAGCCGGAACGTGAAAAAGAATTATCTGCTGTAAGAAGAGAATACGAAGAATTGAAAAGTAAACTCGAAAAAAATGATTTGTACTTGCAAATAAGTGCTTTGGACGATAAATTGGAAAAATTAATCCAAGATAATGAACAAACTATTCGTTCTATCAATGAAAGTGAAAGTCAAATGAATTATCAATCCTTGAAAGAAGAAGCTTTTGTTTTATTAGAAAGATACAATTCAATACTCAAAGACAATATTAAATCAATTTAATTATTTATTTACTCGTGTTTATTGTTCATCTTCTTGAAAAATTCAAGTTTTATTTTATAGAAATACAGCATTTCGTATTTCATCCAAAGATCTCACTGTTATTTATTGTCAAAAGTTTTTCACTTAAATCAATTTTAAGTGTCAATATAATTATTCTAATAATTGCTCCGGTAATATTTAATTTTAAGAAATTAAATCACTTCATTTTAATTAATTTGACTGAGAATGTTTCAATTATCAAACTTTTTTAATTACTCTGCGTTGTTATAGAATACATAATTTCCTTACTTTTTATTTTTTAGGTAGATTTCTTTAGAAATCTATCTATTGTAGCCGGTCTCATATCGTAATTTTTATAAAATTTTGTCATAATATGTTCCATTTCATCAAGTAATGTCGAAAAATGGCATTGGCTCAAAGTTTATATATGTATTTATGTATATGTGATATAACGCGCCATGTCAGCAGGATTGCGCCCACAGTTCTCAACCGATCGTCATGAAATTTTGTGAGCTTATTCTGTGGATCAATACCAAGATCAAGTTCGAAGATGAGCAAAATCGGCCGGTTAGTTTACGAGTTGTGGGTGTTTAAAAATTTTTTTCATTAAAAAAAAAAAAAAAAAAAAAAAATTTTTATAAAAAAAAAAATACATAATAATTATTTTATATTTTTAAAGTGATTGCTTCATTATTAAGAAAATAAACTTTTTTCTATTATTATGTGCGTCATTCCCATAATATTATAGGAACCATTCCTATAATATTATGGGAACCATTCCCATAATATTATAGGAATGATGCCAATAATATTGGAGTAATTTTTTTTCACACAACTGTGGTATTTAATTAATTACTTTTCACTAGATTTATTTTTTTTTGATTAAGTGATTCTTTTTAGGTAGATTTCTTTAGAAATCTATCTATTGTAGCCGGTCTCATATCGTAATTTTTATAAAATTTTGTCATAATATGTTTCATTATATCGAGTAATGTCGAAAAATGGCATTGGCTCAAAGTTTATATATGTATTTATGTATGTATAATATAATACATAAATGTAATATGTATGTATGTATTTATGTATGTATGTATAACGCGCCATGTCAGCAGGATTGCGCCCAAAGTTTTCAACTGATCGTCATGAAATTTTGTGAGCTTATTCTGTGGATTAATACCAAGATCAAGTTCGAAGATGAGCCAAATCGGCCGGTTAGTTTACGAGTTGTGGGTGTTTAAAAATTTTTTTCATTTTCAAAAACTTTTGAATTTCGTAGATTTTATGGAAATAATTTTCCAGATTCAGAAGATAGATAAAATCTATCAGATTTATCTTAAACTTCATTTAATTACCTTCAATATAAACTATCATTTGTCTAGTTTTAATGATTTTTTTAATTAATTTCGTGACTTTGAAAATTTTCAAAAATGTTTCAATGAACGTATTTCGGCCCTTCTTTTCAAATAATTTTTAGGTCGTAAAAGATAGCTTAAATCTATTAAATTTATGTTAAAATTTACATAATTATCTTTAATTTGAGCTATTATTCGTCGCCTTTTGATCCATTTTTCAATTCATTTCGTAGTTTGGAAAATTAAAAAAAATCTAGAATAAATGAATTTTTAGCTTTTATTATCAAATAACTTTCATCTGTTACAAATCCTATTTTTTTAGGTAGATGTCTTTAAATATCTATTTATTGTAGTCGGTCTCATATCGTTATTTGCAAAATTATGATAAAAAATACTTTTTAGGACATTATTGCCTTTTAATAACGTGTCTTTTTTAATATTCAAACGAGAAATCTACCTATCCATGTCGGGTATGGCCGAATGGCGCTTTTTTTTAATCAAGCTTAACTTTACAAGTAAAAAAATAATAAAATTTTCTGATTACTTTTTGATTAAGTTCTAAATACTTTAGTCAATTAAAAATTTTAAAATAATTGTTAATATTAGATTAAGAATTATAAAAATCCAATAATTGTAAGTATTTTTACTAAGAAATTATTTTTTCTTTAATATTTTTTATCTATACATTGATTTAAAAATACAATAAGCATAGTTGGGTTTCAGTGATTTTCAGTATTATAAATAAATAATCACTATAAAAATAATAATTATTTTAATTTAACTCAATAAATAATGACTTGTAACTAGTTTTATTTTATTGTTTGCAATTATACTTATGCATGACTAAGTACTGATTTATTATAATTTATGTATTTGAGTTTATATGCTATTTACTTAGTTGTTAAATATATGTCAAGACATGTGTACCTAATCATAACACAACTTATTTACATAATAAATTTTCTTTGACAGGTTACGAAAATTTTAGTTTGTACGAATCTTACTCTTTTGATAAAATAATGATTTTAAATATCTTGAAGTAAACTTTAAATTTTACAAATAAAATTTAAAAATATTCTACTTATTGCTTAATGTGTTTATAAAACTCTATTGTTTACACACAGCTTCTATACTCGTATATTTGTTTTTGTTGGTCGGTCGATACATATGATACATAGCTGATGTTTTATATGTTTTATTCAAATTTCAACCAATCCCGGTCTTGCTACAATACGCAAGCGTATTTGCTATGTTTTTAAGATCGCAATTCGATTTGAATTATTATTAAAAATGGAACTATCTCATTAATGCCAATTTAATTATTTATTTAAATTGGAATAAAAAAATAATTAGAATAAAATAATAGTTTAGTGATTTTAAAAATAGTTATACTTAACTGTGTAGTAGAATTAAAAAAAAAAAAGATATTGAGAAACTTTCATTATTTTAATGATATAAATAAATGAATTATACTGAATTCAGCAGAAATCTGATAATTGTATTGATTTTTATTGAAAATTAATTATGAAAAAAAAAAATATCCTCAAAAAATTAAGACATCATTTTTTTTTAATTTCTAGATGTGGCATTTTTTTATTAAAATTTTTTCATAATAATTTAGTTATAAAAATCCAAAAAATTGACCGATGTCTTTTAATTTCAATGACATATAATTTGTAGTACTTATTCCAAAAAAAAAAAAATACTTTTAAAATTAAAGTAAAACTTATAATTTGATACATTTATGATTTTTTATTTTTATATTTATTAAAAATTATTTAATTATTAATTACATTATATTTAATAAATGCCTTATGCTGGAACTTGTTTAGATGTATTTGGTACGATATCTTTATCAATAGCTCCAGTTTCTTTCAGTAAATCTTGTTTATCAGCAAACCACTCTTTGAGCCACATGATATGCTCTTCCTTTTCGCTGACAGTCATGTACGGATTTTTAGAGAGACCAATGCAGACCAGATCCATAAAATGACGGACAGGTCCTGTTTTTGGACACCATCCTTGTAAATAACGTTCAAGAAATATGTGTTCCGAAAAATGAACCTTTTCTTCTTCTTCTAGGCCTAGAGAATATTTGGAGTATCAATAAATATTTTTTCTTAAATATTCTATTAGAAAAAAATAGAAAATACACTTTTTTATCAATAAAATTTACCGAATTCATTGTTGATAGGAAATTGCCAGAGCAATCCTTTATCTGTCCACTGAATCATCTCTTCAAATATATTTTCAGGTGGATTAATCATCATCGTTTTTATTTCTTTCTTCTCTAATGAACTCCATGTGCTCAGCATTTGAGAATCCTCTGGTGCTTTTACAGGATCAAAAATATTTAATCGTTTTCCACTAAACAAATTAACCTGCGTCTTCTCTGACCTGTTTAAAATAATAACATAATTAATTATTTAAAAATGATGAAATGCAAAAGTAAATATTATTTATTCAGTATGAATTAAGGATTGTTTAATTAGGAAATAATTAAAAAGACCATTTGGCAGTCGAAATGGGAGTAGATTTCTCAAGTTGAATTTTCAAAATTTCTGTTACATATTTCAGTACAAAAGTTTTTTTTTTATCATGAGTGGTTCCGCAGTTATTCAGGAAAACACTTAAAAAATCATGAATTTATGATAATATTTGCTATATCAGTTTCATTTTATGAAATTTACTTGAATTCGACATTCGATTGTCGACCTATAGAACGTAAAAAATTAATAAAAAAATCAAAATATTTTCGGAAACAAATGCAATATTTGCATAGCGTAATGCAATAGCGAATTTCATAAAATGATGATGAACTGATGAGGTAATTTTAGGTCTAAATATACATTCAGATATTATCAGAAATCCGATAAGATATCGCATTCAATAGTTATTTAAGAAAGAAAGTGCAAAAATATGAACTTTTAGGGTTTTGAAAATTTTAACATACCGTCATTTCTAAACTTTTAGGCCGATTAAGCTCATCTTCGAACTTGACCTTGCTTTTTATCGATAGATAAATCGTGTTGAGTTTAGAAAGGATCGGTAATCGATTGAAAACGCTATCGTCATGACAAGCCGCGTTACATCATGTAATATATATATAAACTTTTGAACCATATGTATATTCTGCAAAATTTTTCGGATGTTCGGTAGTGAGGACCAATGCAATGGTTAGATTTCTATAAAATTTACTAAAAAATACTGTGAAAAATGACCTGAATGGTTGATTTATAAAACTGTTTGAAGATCTTGACTTTTTAATCAATTCCTGAATCTTTTCTGATCTTGATAAAGGCATCATTTCTCTTAAGACCTTCGGCTTGCGTTCTATTTGCATTTTAGAAAACAATTCCCTGCAAAAAATAATTAAATAATTATTCTTTTATAACAATTGAAAAAAAATAAAAAAATAAAATCTTTATCAATAAAATTACTCAAGAGTAAGCTTTGATGGTTGAACTGGTTTTGAATCTTCTTTATTTTCCAATGATACTGTTGGTTTACCGGCTGAAAATACTTTATTAAGCAATTCAGCTTCTGTTTTCTCTGGATCACCTCCTAGAACAGCTGCGACATCCTTAGCTGCATTAATAATCTTTTCCTCTGCAAACCAATATCCACATAGAATAAAAAAGCTTACAAAAAATATCTTATAATTTTTATAAATATAACAGTAAATAATTATTTCAGTGAGATTATTTTCTGCAATACAAACCTAATTCAGGCTCTTTTGGTGGTTTGGGTTTTCGTTCCTTTTTCGGAACAGCACGAATGGTTTTGTCTTCAATTTTAACAGAAGTCTAAAACAAAATTAACTTTATTATCTTCTACGTAAAAAATATAATGTCAACTAGGCAGTGATGGTACTTTCTCTCACTGGCAAATTATCTCTGAACTGTTTACTTTTCGACAAACAGTTGCCAATTTTTTTATTTATTTTTTTTTATGGAGTAAAATCACTTGCTAGTCTACATAATTCATAAAATTTTATACAATTAAACTTATAATACTGTCTGCTAGTATTTACCATATTAGTTAATAAACTATTCAGTAAATCAACAGTTTCCTTCTTTTCCGTTTCACTTCTTTCTACAATTTCTAATTTCTTCACTTTTTTAATTTTTTTAATTTTACTTGGATCTGCATCAGAATTTGAAGAATCTGACGACGACGATGATGATGATAATGAGGAATCCTTAGAACTCATCAACCTCTGAGCCATGCATAGTTGTTGATGATTTATTTTACTGCGACAAATAGCATGTCTGAAAAAAATGATGTTGCAAGCAACAAATTTAATAAAATTTCACACTCTTTAAAAAGCATTTAATAAAAACAAAAATTATTTTAATAAAAACAAATATAAAAATAAAACATCAAAGTTAGGTTATGTTTATATTTTTAAATATAATTTTACTGTAACATACCTGTAAATAAATTGTATCACCAGTAAATTGTTCATGATGTTAATTATAAAAAAAAAAAAAACTTTTTAATTTTAAAACACGAAAAATAAACAATAATAAAATTTAATGATAATTTAAATTGTGAAACCGGTACACATTTAAATGACAATCATGATTATCGTATTTATTTATAAATTTATCTAAACTTTATTTAAGAAATGTTATCTTAAGTAATATAGTTATTATTATGGTTTATGTACTTTAAAATTAGTCTTTATTAACACGTGACTAAATTATTTGGTAATGTTTTAATTTAAAAAATTCCAACACTTGATTTTATAAGTTCCGTTCAGGATCGTATCCTCCATGTGGGTAAAACTTATCTGAAAAACAGATTATTTAAAAAAAAAATTCTTGACTTAAAATTATAATTAAAATTTTAAATAATTATTCTATTTATAAATTTAATGAATAATTTATAAAACTATTAAATTAAACTAATTAAATTACAACTTATTCAGACGTCACTTAAGTAATCGGTGGGCATCGACAAAATTCGGGGATGTGAACATAAATATATATTATTATACTATTGTGCTCGCTCGGCACACATTATACATTATTTGTTAATTATTATCATTGTTATCAATGTCGAAAAGGAATTCAGTTGGTTACTAGAAATATTGATTTTGTTGGATTTCCTGTGAATAATAAATGATATTCAATACTTGATTGCTGGTTTTGTTAATACGGATTATCAAGATAAAGATAATGATATCAATAATAGTGTAAATATTACATCGCGATGGCGCGAGTGCTTTCAACGACAAACGTCATCATCAAGCACGAAAATTTGGCTGACTGTTTTTATTCATTCATTTAGTGTAACGACCTGACTTGAGACATCAAGCAGATACTTTTGTCGTGGACCACCTTAATTATATACTACATAATTTATAAAATTGAGTTAACACTAAAAAATATTTTATTTTCATTGTTTTGTTGAGTTTATTTTGCTTAAGTTCTTTTGTTTTGTTATATTTTATTTATTTATTACATTTAATCGGTTTACTTGCTGAATAATAAAATGAAAAGAACAAAATCTAATTTTTTTAATGATCTTTATAATCAGCCGTATGATTACAATGCTAAAGTTAAACTTTATAACAGTTGTAAAGGTAAGAATAATTGTTTTTTTTTTTTTTTTTTTTCAATTGTAAGATCATAATTAATAACATTTTTTGTCATGTTTCTTTTGTTGAATATTTATAAATTTTAAATATTCTAGAAAGTTATTTTTATATTATTAGTCATCAAATTTTTTGAATTTAATCATTGCAGCAAGTTTAGAGTTGGTGCAGAGGATGTCACTTTTGAAACGTCTAAAGGTACATAATGGATGTGTTAATTCAATATGTTGGAATCATAATGGTGAATACATACTCTCAGGCAGTGATGATCAGCATCTAGTCCTTACTAATGTTTATAATTATAAGGTAAAAAAAATACTTTTATTAATTTATTCATTACTTGGCCAATTATTTTAATTGAAAGAAAAAAAAAAAAAAAAAAAAAAAAAAAAAAAAAAAAATTCAAGGCACCAATTTATTTGGCAAAAAAGTATTCATATTTTTTGTCTTGAAAAAATTTTGTCACTTAATTTAGAACACAAGAGAATGATATATAAATAATTTTTTTAATTAATCTTATGATTTTTATTTATTTACTTGATGAGTGACGGGTGCAAATTTTCTAATGAGCTAGAGAAATAGATAAATAAGATGTGTGAAATAAATAAAATTATAAAGGAAGTTATGCATGGCAAATGTAGTCAAGGTTTAACATTGACCTGCATAAAAAATTGGGGACTTTGCCAAATGGGATAATGAAATTTAACGAATGTTCCTTGTGTTACTAATTATACCTATCGCTCTAGAAATGCATTATGTGTAATAAATAAAAAGTATTGTCATTTTATTAAAACAGGTTTTGAAAGACTATAAAACTAGCCATAGAGCTAACATATTTAGTGCCAAATTTTTGCCAAATAATGGTGATCATCGCATTGTATCGTGTAGTGGGGATGGAATGATTCTTTATACAGGTAAAAATTATTCAATTTTATTTGATTAAGATTAAATTTCTATCTACTAACTTAATTAAATTTCAATAAATTTATTTTTAGATTTAATGAGAACATCTGAGACTTTTCACAATCAATTTACATGTCACAATGGTACTACTTATGAAATAGCAACAGTTCCTGGTGAACCACACAGTTTTCTAAGTTGTGGAGAAGACTGTAGTGTTCGATATTTTGATCTTCGTGTTAAGTCTGCATGTAATACGCCTAGGTGTAAAGAGGTTTGTTTTTTTTTTTTTTTTTTTTAAATTTAATTTATTACATTTATTGTCTGATTCCCATATTAATTGTAATTTCGTTTAGGATATACTAATATTAAGACAACGGCCAGTAACAGCAATGTCAATAAATCCTGCAATGCCACATTATTTAGCGATTGGTTGTTCCGATAGCTCTGTTGGGATTTATGATCGTCGAATGTTGAGCATCGGCGAAAGAAGTAAGTTTTATTTATAAAAATAAAACTTTTTTACTACGTTAACTGTTTATTTTTTTTTTAATTTATTAAGTAATAAAAAATATTTTCAATTGAAGATTGGACTGATGAGAAAAGTGTAAATTGGACGTCTCCAGTATCAGTGTTCACAGTACCAGAATTCGAAGGACATGCATATCGGATAACGTCTTTGTGTTATAGTCCTGATGGCAATGATGTGCTCGTCAGTTACAGTAGTGACCATATCTATTTATTTAGCGCAAAGGTATTAATTTTAATTTAAAATAGCTTTTATGATTATAATTAATTAAATTAAATATTGTTAATTAAAAAATACACTCAAAACATCTCAAGATAATTACTTTATTGATAAAAACTTAGTTGATAAAGTTATAATGATGATAGACCAGGAACATTTTTTTTTTGTTAATTAAAAATTATTTATTTTTAGCATCAAGGGAGTGTCTGTTTGAAAAAAGATTGTCTATCTGAAAAGAGTACAAATAAGCGACCACCAGTAAGATCTCCTCAGCCAGTTCGAAGATTAAGATTACGTGGAGATTGGTCTGATACTGGCCCAGACGCTCGACCTGAACGTGAAGGTGGACGTCGAAGTGGAGGTAAATTATGAGTTTTAAATCTAATTAATGAATAATGATTAATGTTATTTACGTTCTTATCCATGGTTCATAATATATTCAATCGGTTCTTGTTTTAAGGATATTTAATGTTTGATGTTTATTTAATTTTCATACAACGTTTAGCCACTTTCGCAGCTTCCTCATTAGTGATGCTAATTAATGATGTTAAAATTTAATATAAACGGTAAATATCATTTGCAGAAATAGCACAAGCTCGGCCTATGCTACATACATCATTAATGCAACGGATGACTGATGTCCTCAGTAGAATGTTGAATGATCCAGCTACAAGAGCTGCTTTGAGCGGCGATGGCGGTGATAATATTCAAGGAGTTATTGATCAACATACTGAAAGCCAACAACCAGAAGAATCTATCGAAATTAATGAAGAAAGAAGTAATGAAGTGCAAGTTATGGAAACTGAACCAAATTATCCAGCATTAGGTATTACTTTTTGATAAATTAATTTAATAAATATTTTTAAATAAACTAATGTATTAATAATTAAAATTGTTTTAATTATTAGAAGATAGTCAAGATAATAATATGGAAATTGGAGAAGAAAATAATTTAAATTCAAATAATTCTGAGGTTGTAAGTGCTAATGAACTTGAACAAAGTTCAGCTATAAATAACTCATCGTCTGAATCCGCAGACGAAATAAATATAATAAATGAACAGTCTGAACATAATTCTATAAATAATGAAACGAATCAAACCGAAAATTTAATTCAGTCACACGTGTCTCCTTGCTTGCCACGTGATAAAATTACGAGGAATCAAATAACAGATGGTGATAATAATCGCAGTGATGAAATCAATCCCGATAATGATGATGATGATGCCGATGACACTTCGATGAATGTAGATAGTACTAGAGACGAAACAATGATGGAAAATTTACAAGATCGATTAACATCAATGAGAGATGGCTTCTTAGAAAAGTATTTAACTTTTTATTCATTGATTATTGATTTACTTTTTGATTTATTTATTATTTTTGTTTTTACTGAGAAGAAATTTTAATTATTTTTTATCGATATCTTTGTAGACATGGCAGTGAACCTGCAGTAAGCTTAACTTACTCTGATAAAAGTTCTACCGGTGCAACTATATCTTTGGGAGTAGCTAATGAAGTCATACGGGATAGCTATCATCCAGGTAATGTTACATATTTTGAGATTAAATATTTATACAAACATAAGTAATATTGTAATACTTTTAGGACCATCTGGAAGTCAAAATTTGAGTTCTAAATTGGTTACATCAACGATACCATCAAGTAGTTATGATAATAAGTCAGCATTCAATCATAAATGTGATCGTAAGTAGTTTACGCATTCGCTTTAGTTTCTTGTAAAAAACAAAAAAATTATTAAGTTAATAGTTAAATATATTTCATTTTTTAAGATGAACAAATAGAGGAAGAAGATGTTTACACTGATAGTGATGATGAAGAAACGGAAATGGCAAAGAAAAGGTAACAAAATATATATTGCACGACTCATGATGCGAAGCATCAGAGACTGCTTTACGATCGAAAAATTTTTTTCGCCCTATTTCGGCAACTATTTTTATTATTATAATTTAATGAAGATTAATTTGACACTTTTAAAAAATTTATTTAGTGCATTAGAAACGGAAAAAAACATCTAAATAGGTCAAAAAATTTTCCTGTCTGTCATGTATGAAACTCTGAAAACACTGTAACTTGCGAAAAAATGCATTAATTGAGTTAAATTTTTTTTTTAAATTGTTTGACAGAATTGTAGGTCACCGAATGCGAATGGCTAAGTAATTTAGTGTCGTTTATGTACAATTAAGGGGATCCGGTGGTCTAGCGGCCTAAAATTTAAGCTATTTTAAAAAATTTTATTTCTATGTGAAGGTAATGACTAATGCTTTCAATTTTTTTTACACTTATTCTATTACTTATCAACTACACAAAAATGAAAATCAAAACAAAGAAAAATTTTTTTTTTTATTTAGAAAAATCGCTCTGAAGTCCCCCTCTCAAAAAAAAAAAAAAATGGACCTGACTGGTGGAAGTAGATTGATCTCTCCCTCTGATCTGAAATTAAAAAATATGATTGATTTTTAATTAATATAAGTATAGTTATCGTGTATACTAGAATGAAAAAAAAAATATTTGACAAAATGCCCGTAGATAAAAATATTTTTTTGAAAACGAATTTCGGATTTTTACTTTAAAACTACGCGCCATTTTGTCAAATATTTTTTTTTTTTTTCATTCTAGTATACACGATAACTGTACTTATACTAATTAAGAATCAGTTATATTTTTTTATTTCAGATCAGAGGGAGAGATCAATCTACTTCCACCATTCAGGTCCATTTTTTTTGAGAAGGGACTTCAGCGCCATTTTTCTAGTTTAAAAAAAAATTTTTTTTTGTTTTGATTTTCATTTTTGTGTAGCTGATAAGTAATAAAATAAGTGGAAAAAAAATTTGAAAGCATAAGTCATTCCCTTCATATAGAAATAAAATTTTTAAAATAGCTTAAATTTTAGGCCGCTAGACCACCGGGTCCCCTTAATAAAATAAAACAAAAACCAGAAGACTGTATATCTATATATATTGTGTACATTTATCCCACTAGAAGCGCTTGGGCATTATCGTGCTATTTTAGCTGTTTTTTATATTTTCTTTCACATTCTTTATTTTATTAATATTTCATAATTAAATGAGCATTATGAGTCGTGCACTTTTGGATTTTCCAAACTTTTTTTTTTTTTATAATTTATTTTCTTTCTATTGATATAGAAACCATTTTAATAAAAATTTTTCAGTCATAGGAGGGAAAGAAATCCAATTGAAGCAGAAATGGATGAAGCTGTGACAAACGCTCGATCTTCGTTAGGCTGTGAACAATCATTTAACGTTGATGGATCAAAAGAATTTCATGTAAGACAAAAATACATGGGTCATCGTAATGCTAGGTATGGCTGTTTATTTCAATTCAAACGTAGTATACTTCTTTTTTTTTTATGTGTATATATTTATTATATTACTTAATTAATAATACAAGAAAACTAGCATAGATAACAAGTCAATGTTTGATACAACAATACACCCAGTATGTTGAGCGATTAAAAAAACTTAATTACGATAAACCCATCAGTGCTTAATGGTAACCCTTAGTAAGAAACATACTATAATATCAACAACTGGACAAATACACTTAAAATATTGATAACATTGGTAAAAAACCTCCCGAGTGGACTGGGCCAATTAGAATCAGCCCATCCAATGAATCTGATCGCTTGTCCTTCCCTCGTTTGACTCTAGTTTCTTTAGGACTATGATCAAAGAAGCGAATTTTTGGGGCAACGATTTCGTCATGTCTGGCAGTGACTGTGGTCATGTCTTCATTTGGGATCGAGAAACAGCTAAACTTTGCATGTTGCTGGAAGCTGATCAACACGTTGTCAATTGTCTGCAACCACATCCATACCTACCAATGCTTGCAACTTCAGGAATCGATTACGATGTTAAACTTTGGGCGCCGGTTGGTGAAGAAGCCCATTTCAACACTAGTTTTGCAGAAGATGTAAGTTAATGATATTAAAATTTATTTAAATAAATAATTTCATTTTAATTGATAGATAAAAAGAGCAATTTTTAATTTTATAGTCATCTGGATTTTTAGACATAAAAGTCGATCTATTTTTTTCAATTTTTTTACATTTTTATACGAAATTATAAGATTAAATGTCATAATTTTATAACAAGATTTTACAATTAAAAAAAACTAAGTAACAAGAATGAAAATAATTGTGATACCTTAGAATATTAATTTTAATTTAATTTGGCCATTTTTTTATTTATAGCTCCAGAAACGCAATGCTGTAATGCTTGAAGAGACCAAAGATACAATCACAGTACCAGCTGTATTTATGATAAGGATGTTGGCCTGCCTGAACCAAATTCGAGGTAGCGACAGTTGATGATTGTCAATAATACATTAAAAAAAAAATAATACTAATACAATTTATTCTACAAAGTGCTTTCTGTATTTATTAACATGTCTATGGCTTTGTTGAATAAATATTTTTTACTGCTGAATGCATTTGTAGAACCATAGTGAGAAATTAACAGAAATTAACCCGACTAATTAGTCATGACAATTATTTATTTTTGTGTTCAAATAACTCAGTGTATATAATTTAATAATTTCGAAATACATAAATTTTATTAAATTTATAAATTTTAGTAATCACTAATACAAAACATTGTTTAACTGCATTTTATTTAATAAAACGGTCAAATACTTTATTTTATTTATTATTTTTTTATGGTTTCCGTAAAACTACGGCAATGTTATTATTTTTGTTAAATTTCATTGTAATCAATTTGTTTTTATAGAATATTTGAATTGTTTATAGGACGCGGTCGAAGAAGAAGGAGTGGTAACGAAGCTGACGAGTTAAGAGGAGGATAAAAAAGATTTTTTTGTGATATAACTTTCTTAAAATTTTAGATAAATTATGTTAAATGATCAACAACGCTATTTTTCAGGTAGATATTTCAATGATGACCTAATTCACTGATTTATTTAAAACCACATTTTTTTCTAAATTACTTCTAGTTGACAAAATAATTAAAAATATTTTCAGGGGAGTGATAACAGAAAAAATTGCATTTTTATCTATTTATCTTAATTTGGAATGTTATATAGTTTAGTTAAAAATTTAATCACACCATTACATTACTTGTTTGAGTTAAATATAAATTTAATATTTTTATCGACTATAATCACATTTATTACACTCAATTTATTTTGTTGATTATTTTTTATTCACTAAAACATGTGCCTTACAAAAAACTTGTGAAACTCGTAAATACCATAGACAATACAATAAAAATCATTTTAATCTTTACAAAATAAAAATAAAAAGTAATAATATCAACAATAATAACAGAATATTCAGAAAATCAGTGAAAAAGTTTTGTATTGAATTTAAAATATTACATTAAAATATCTAAGAAATCGCAATAATAAATTTAGCGTGCAATATTTAGATTAAAGTATGTAGATGTTAATTAGTTGTAATGAATTAAAAGTTAACTGTAATATCAGCTATATTTTTTAAATTATAAGTTTAAATGCAGAGCTATCTTTATAGTATTTTTTTTTGAATTTTAATCTATTAAAACTGTATGAAAATGTATGTAAGAAATGTTATTGTAGCTTTCTTTTTTTGTATTTAATGCAAGTAATAAATCAAAAAAATTTATTTCATTAAAAGTATCTTGTAGAATTTTCTTTTGCTTTCTACCTCAATGCAAGTGAAACAAGAAGTTTTTAAGTTATAAAAAAATAAAGTGGTTAAACATGTGGGCCAGTTAAAAAACGCGATACTGTAAAAAAATCTCAGTATTAAATTAATGTCAGTATTTTAAATCAAAAGGTAACATTTTAATATAAAAATAATAATATGGTAAACATATTTATATAATTTTATACATTTTTATTAATGAGTTCATATTTTTATCGTTTATATTTTATACAGTTCGAGCGGTCGTGAATAGTCAAATTTTTTCGATCCGGAAGAAGGGGAAGGTTAAATGGTTGATCATAAGTTGGAGAAAATACAAGCGGTACTTTATAACTAATGTACGGTACTGGATATTCTTGAAAGTACGACCATGTTAATCCATTGTAATTTTTTTTGAAATAATCAAGAGGATGTGATGCGCCTGTGCGATCTTTGTATTGCTCTCGATGTAATTGCACACCCTTATTATAAAAATACTCCTTTAATTATATGATACTTATATTTTATTGAAATTAAATGATCAGTAAATACTTGATAAAAATTGTCAATTTGTTTTATGTGTCCGGCGTCGAGGGTTGAAATTTTTACAGGAGGTGAAAAAGGTTTTGAATATTCCAAAATTCTTCTGATTGGTGAGCACGGTTGACTATAAATTGACGACATTATCAAAATTTTAATAATTCAACCTCTGTAAAGATATGTCATTTTATAATTTTTTCAAACAAGAGTAAGTGTAAACAATTGAAAGACAAAAATTATGCTATAATTATTTACCACTTAATTTTTATATATTTTTATTAATTTATTTAGGATTCAAATTTTTATTTACAAAAACATAATACAAAACGTTAAATAATTATGTCTAAATCAATAGTTGGTATTATTATTATTATTATTATTATTATTATTATTATTATATTTATATATATTAATATTATTTATTGATACATTTAGCGAATATTTATATATATATTTTTACGCGATTCATATTTACAATTAAATCTGGCATGCTTCATAATTTGTAATTTGTCTGGATATTTATCAAGACAAACTCTAGTGATTACTTTAAATAACACTGTGCAAAAATTGTTCATTGATAAATACAGTACTTATTACGTAAAATCAAGTATGATCTAGACCTAAGTCTAACAGATAAAAATAAAATCATTGTTTTTTTTTTTACTGTCGGTGATACCCGATCCTTATATTTATCTAACTATATGTATTTTAATTATTATACATTAGACAATTCGAGTCGACTGAGTATAACATTTTCTTATTTCATACTTTTTAGAAATGTTATAATTATTCAAATCGAATAATGTTCATTGGTCTATTTTATTATAAATTATTAGTAATCAAATTTTTTGGCATCGCTTTCATTTCCAATTACGATATATTTACTTAAATTTTATCGTTTATTGTTGATATCTTTCTTGGGCATGTCAAGGATTCAACTATGATGCAAGTGAATGTGAGATGGCGGTAATTCGTTTGCTACTCCTAGGTTGCTTTGCTGGAAGAAATGAAAAATTTTTATTTTATATATTTTTATTTAATTAGGTAATGTAAAGTCAAGGATTTAAATATATCGATGATTCAAATCATTAAGGTATGTATAGTTATGAAAATGAGTAAATATATTTTTTTAACACAAAATAAATAATAAATGATAAAAATATAAAAAAAATTCAAAGTTTATTTATAAAAATTTAGGAAGCTTTTAAGTTAAATTGTTGATAATTATAAATTTGAAAATTGTGAAAAAGGTTTTGTTATGAAGGTAGTAGTCTGAGAACTTGGGTTGGAAAACATCGATTCTTTTTTCTTACTTATTTCGAAATTAAAACACATTGTAAGATCACTGCTAAAATTTTAGACCTGAATTCGAAAGAAAACAAAGTTCCCAAGCGTCACACAAAAAACTGTTGACTTTTTGGTAAATTTTATTTAATAAGAAGTCAAAAATTAATAATTGTCAACTTAAATTCAACAAAATATTACCAAAAAAATTTTTGTGCTGCTTGAATTATAACGAGAATTCGATAACACTCGGTGATTGCGCGCCGAATATTCGTAAAACTTTGAACGCGTTTTTCTCAAAATAAAATTTTTTCGATTGGTCCGCATTAAAAAAACTTTCATATTTGACCATTTTTTCGGAAAAAATCACTGTTTTTTTTCGATGTCCGCTATTTTGTTATTTTCTGATGAATTTTGTAATCCCAGTTTCAACGACAATGACAAATCTAATATAGATCAATCATCTATATTTATTTGACTTTTTTCATTCAAATGGGTTTTTAAAAACCGAAATTACAGGGGCCTACGACCTATTTTTTTCTTGAGACGTTAACTTTGTCCAATAATGATAATTATTATTCTAAACCATTGTGAAATTAAGTAAAAAATTTTTTTTTGTGCACTTTTAGATATCAATAATAACATGTAAAAAAAAACACAACGATTGAATTAAATTTTTCCATAAAAAAATTTCTTGAAAAAAACGTTAAAAAATATATAAGTTACCAGACTACTACTTTCAAAATTAAATATATCTTTTTAAAAAATTGATTCTTTATACACGGAAAGAAAAATATGGGAACAGTTCCCAGGCAATTATAGGAACTGTTCCCACAATTATAGGAAATTTTCCTAGTATTATGGGAACATTTCCCATAACGATGGGAATGGTTCCCATAATAATATAGTAATGGTTCCTATATCATTATGGGAACTATTCCCATAATGGTATAGGAAAGATTCCTAGAATATTATAGGAATCATTCCTATACCATTATGGGAATCGTTCTCAAAATAAAATAAAGATAAAATTTTCGTGCGGAGTGAGTTCGAAATAATTTCTACACTGTAAAAAAAACCGGGGTAAGTCCAAAGCGGTGTAGGTGGTAAAATTTGCGGTGTTAAATTTAAACACCGAAAGCGGTGTTAAAATAACACTGCTGCCGGTGTAAATATTTTTTTCCGATGTTAAAGCGGTGTTAAAAATTTTCCGGTATTAAAATATTTTTCGATGTTGAAGATATTTTACTTTGTGAATATTATTATTCACTAAATTATAATTAAGAAATTGTTCTTCGTTGGTTCTGAAGATAAAAATTCTGAGGATGAAGATCGTTTGAGAAAAAAAGAGTTCGATACCAACGGAGAACAGTTTGAAATTCGAGAAAATCGTTCTTTTCATTCTACTTAAACATCATTTTTTATAGATTTTAAAATTTTGTCAATTTTTAAATTCTAAGATCATATTTCATCCATTGAAATACACCCAAGTCATTAACAATCGTGTTTAATAGATTTTTTCTCATATGTAAATCTGCAATTTTCTCGATTTTTTTTATTATTTGAGATTTTTTTTTTAATCTTAAAACGTCAACGGTACAAAAAAACTTCAGATTCAAATTAACTGGAAAAAATACATAAAAATCATACTCAATCTGAATCCAAAAAATTTTTTTCTTCTCGATAATTTCGATTTTTCATGATTTCTCGTAATTTTTTGGGTTTTTTGCAATTTTTTCAAATTTTGACGGCTCAAGGAGCTACTTAACGTTTAAATTTAGATTCAGTGAATTGACATACATAAAAATTATACTTTATCCGGGTTCACAAAAATTTATTCATCGCTGTGACCAGTTTTTCGCAATTTTTTGGGGATTTTTTGCATTTTACTTAAAATTTTAAATGGGTGTACGGGCAAAACTGACTCCAGATTCGGATTCAGCGCGTCAAAATATATAGTGACAGATAGGTCCAGTCAAAAGTACTGATCACTTTATTTGTGGGCCGGTGTTATGAATACTACTTTAATACATTTTCTTAATTTAAAAACTAAGTTTTATTATATTTTATAGATTTTATAATCTTGATATTTTAAATAGACTGTTTACTTTGCTTTTATACCGTGGTATTACTTCGTTTTTACACCGATTTAACACCGGTGTTTTCACACCGGCAAACTACGCCAGTGTTATTTTATTTTAACACCGCGCGGTGTTAAAATAAGTCCATTTTTAACACCGCTCTTTTTACAGTGTATAATATATACACGAAAAAAAAATTGATTTTCATGTGACAGCAATATAATTTTCATGTAGTATGCAATAATAGTTAAAACAACAATAATAATTAAATAATAATAATAATCTTAATAATAATAATAATAATAATAATAATAATAATAATAATAATAATAATAATCTTAATAATAATCTTAATAATAATAATAATAATAATAATAATAATCTATATTATTAAGAGAATAAAAAAAATTTTGGGGCCAGTGTATTTATATGATAAAATGGGTTTTTGCTTGGAGTTGGGCCTTTTCAAAGTTTCATATCATTCTCACCAATATTCAATTTATTATAATAAGAATTTAGGCTGCATTCGAAAACGCTCTGTGTCTAGATACATAATGAAGAAATTACCTTGTATCTAGT